AAAAAAAAAAAAAAAAAACAAGGCCGTGGCATGACCTGGTGGTTAGGGCACTCGACTCGTAAACTGCAGGTTCGACTCCCGTCACAAAACATGTTTGTCTTTTCAGCCGTGGGACATTATTATGTTAAGTTCAATCCCACTTTTCGTTAGAGTAGCCCAAGAGTTGTAAGTGTATGCTGTTGACTAGTTGTCTTCCCTTTCCGCGAGTAGCCCAAGGATTGGCGATGGGTAGTGATGACTAGCTGCCTTTCCTCTAGTCTTTCACTACTAAATTAGGGACGGCTAGCGCAGATAGCTCTCGTGTAGCTTTGTGCGAAATTCAGAACAAACCAAACCCTTTTTCGCAAAATTCAACAAACAAACAAATAACAAAAAAAAAGTCAACCTCACTTAAAATATTTTTAAACGACTTGAATTGACGTGCGTGTTCATTCGTTTCAGAAAACAAGATGTAGCCTCGATTCGCCTGTCCAAAACGTGTGATGGAAAAAAACTGTTGTTAGGAAACGTCTTCTTCGTTAATACACTTCTTGTGCCAGCTTGATGACGTCACTTTCTTTTACTACATCTCCTCGTTCGCAAATCCTGAACACCATTCTGAGCCACTTTATTGCTGTACATAATGTTCCATACGTTTATGACGATAAATCGAGGCTACTGTAGGATTCTAAATATATTGAACCATCGAAGATATGACCCAACAATAAAAAAAAATAATTAAACAGCTAGAAACAGGCAACATTAAAATTGAATCCGAAATGATGGCTTTAATAAGTGACTTGAATAGCACACACAAGATTTAGTTGAATGCAAAGACTTCAATACTTGAAGGCCAAAAGCTTACCATAAATATACGCTACGATAACGTATTTTGTAATTACTGTTAGTAAATGAATTCTATTGGAACAAATAAAACGTTACATGAACGTGCGCCCCCCCCCCAGTAGTACAGCGGCATGTCTGCGGACTTACAACGCTAGAAACCGGGTTTCGATACTCGTGGTGGGCTTTGTGTCTGACTGCAAACATGAACGTGTTCTAGATCAATGGTTCCCAGACTTTTGGCAATCACGAACCAGTAACCCCCCCCCCTCCCAAAAAAAAAAGAGAGAAAAGGACTTAGGCGACTTTTAGTCAATAAATATTGAAAAAAAATCGTAAATAAGTGTCAGTGTTTTCAACAGTCAAGACACGTTGCGGGCCGGTAGAAATTAATTCAAGGACCAGTACCGGTGCGCAGACCGGCGTGTTTTGGAAACACTGCTCTAGATCAAGATACAATGTAAATCCCTTTACACTTGGGTGTTATATTCATTAAGTCACATGCTTGTAATAAGTTAAATACGACGCTGGAACTAATTACCATGAAATATACATCTGTTTTAATATTTCCTTTCCTATGTGGGTCTTTTCTGACAATACTGTTGCATAACGCTTTCAGGACTTCACCTGGACAGCTATTTCTCCAGTTTTTGGATCTACATCGGACCAACAGAAGAACTAGCTATTTGGAACCAATTACTCCAGAAAAACGGTGAGATTTTAATGCTATAAACAGTTACGAAAATCAGTTTTAGATTAGTTAATGCTGTGATTATTGTGTTCATTGGTTGTTGTTTGGGTTGTCAGTGTTGTGATGTTTGTCTTCACTGGTTGTAGTTTGGGTAATAAATGTTGTGATGTTCGTCTTCACTGGTTGTAGTTTGAGTTGTCAGTGTTGTGATGTTTGTCTTCACTGGTTGTAGTTTGGGTTGTCAGTGTTGTGATGTTTGTCTTCACTGGTTGTAGTTTGGGTAGTCGTGTCGTGATGATTATGTTCAAAGGGTTTAAATAGGCGATATTTTAATGATTGTGTTAATTGGATTTTAGACTTGGTAATGTTCTAAAGATTATGTCCATTGACTGTAGGGAGTGCTGTGATTATTGTGTTCATCAGTTGTAGATTGGATAATGTTGTAGTAATTGTGTTTATTGGTTGTAGATTGGGTAATGTTATAGTAATTGAATTAATTGGTTGTAGATTGAATATTGGTATGATAATTGTGTTTATTGGTTGTAGATTGAGTAATGTAGTAATTGTATTCATTGGTTGTAGATTGGATAATGTTATAGTAATTGTATTCATTGGATGTAGATTGGATAATGTTATAGTAATTGTGTTCATTGATTTTATATTAGGAATTGTTTGTGATGATTGTGTTTATTGAGTTATAGATAATGTAATGTTGTGAAGATTGTGTTAAGTAGCTAGATATTAGGTAATCTTGTGGTGGTTGTGGATAGAGTAATATGAGGATTGTGTTCATTGTTTGTGGATTGGATAAAGTTGGAATGATTGTGTTTATTGGCTGTAGATTAGGTAACCTGGATATTTGTTTGTTATTTTTTATCGTGAGAAAAATGTAGATTGAACCTTTTATCTTTATCCTTTTTCTATAGAGAATGATTATACACAATCGCCGTTACTTAAATCGTCTGATAACCCATCTCTACAGCGTTCTGAATCCATCGAATCCACATTGTCTGAGCGAGAGTTCCGGAAGCAGTATAAAGCTGTTACTCATCGTTTGGTTCACCGGAAGTCCAGTATGGAGCTTTACAGTCGGCTGGCAAGTCGGAAATTAGGTTAGGTGTTAAAATTTTTTTTTTTTAAATAAATATTGTTTTGCTTGTACGTTGGAAGTAATTGCCGAATGAAAAATCAATTTAAATTTAAAAAATCCTTTTCTCTAAATCCTTAATTATAGAGTAAGTTTCTAAGTTATTCGGTATTCCAACTTTCAATGTGCCTATGTTGAAAACTAGCACTAATGAAACATGGTTTTGGTAATTTTGAAAATAATTCAAAAGACAGCATTTTTTGCCGTACGTTTTGCGAATATTTACAAAATAATAATAGAACAAAATATGACGTAATTAAAAAGTAATTACTCTGTCCACAACTGACTCTGGATAAGAAACGCTATCGTCTTATTTTTAGGATACAAGAATCAAACAATGACGTTTAGTAGATATTATTCAGTAACGAACATCAGAACCATTTTGGGTCTAATGCTTTTATTTAATTCATAATATTTAAGACGGCAAAAATAAATTCGAAAACCTAACGATTTTTTTTTCGTTTTGTTCAGACTTGAGTTCTCTGACAGTCTCTTCTGAGATGCTTGATGATCTTGAGTAATCAAGCGTACATTGGGCTCCGCTTTCAGATATGAAGAAATCAAAATATTGAAAAATATTTAGAAATATGGATAATCTCAGTTAAGTATGCTGTCGAATCATCTACAGTAAAGTAGACTGTTCAGTTCTGATGTCGTAGAGTAGGCTTTGAGTCTCCGTCTTACTGCTGCACAGAAGGCTGTGGTATACCTATCTCTGTTGTAAAGTAAACTTTCAAATCTCTTTGTTATAATGTATGCTGTTGAGTCTTTCTGTTGTAAGGTAGGCAGGCTGTTGAATCTCCCTGTTTTAAAGTAAACTATTGAGCCTCTTTGTTGTAAAGTAGGTGTTGAGTCTCTCTGTTATAAAGTATGCTGTTGAGTCTCTCTGTTATAAGGTATGCTGTTGAGTCTCTCTGTTATAAAGTAGGCTTTTGAACCTCTGTTATAAGGTAGGATGTTGAGATTTTATGCCGTACGTTATGCTGTTGATCCAGCTCTATTTTGTATTGACTGCTGAGTTTCTTTGTCTTAAATTGACTGTTGAATATCTCCAACGTACAGTTAACATGAAAGTCTTCTCTTCTACAGTAGCCCATTGAATTTCTGTCACTAGATGGCTATTTTAAATTTTGTAATTTCTAACCTTACTAACACTACAGTTTCCAAATGTATATTATTCATTAATTATAACATTTTGTTAACATTGACAGAAAAGTATACCAAGCTCACTTTAAAAAAATCTTCTGTTCACTTTAATTACTTTGGTTTATTCACAGAAGTTGACAAACACGTAACAATCCAAAGAAAAAACGGAGAGTTTGGGTTTCGTATCCATGGAAGTCGTCCCGTTGTTGTGTCTGCTATTGAGCCAGGTGGGAAATATTATATTATATCGAGTAATATGAGCACTATTTTGTTTCGTTTTATTACATAGCGTAATGATTTGTTTTTTAATTTGGGAGTTAAACGAGCTCTTATTACTTCCAGTGGTCTATTAGGTTATTTTAATGTAACTTTAATGTTTCTAACGATGAGTTGGAGAAGTTTCACTCCAATCAATAACTGATCAATTAAAACCGAGTAGAGAAAGAAATGATCTATCAAGTTAAAAAGTAATGTAATCGATGAGTGATCAGTTTAATGTCATGCTATTTATTAAGGAAACTTAATGTTACCAGTGTATGGGTACGTTATTAACATATATTTAGTTAACACTGCTCACTTAACCATTTATGTATATTTAAAAATCCAGAGAAATAATTCATCTTACTTGTAGAGAGTCCCGTCCCACCAAACATGCTTGACCCTTCAGCCGTGGGGGCGTTATAATGTGATGGTCAATCTCACTATTCGTTGGTAAAAGAGCAGCTAAAGATTCGGCGGTGGGTGGTGTTCACTAACTGCCTTCCCTCTAGTCTATCACTGCTAAATTAGGGACGGCTAGCGCAGATAACCCTCGAGTAGATTTGCGCGAAGTTCGAAAAACCAACCAAACAAACTTATAGAGAAATGTGTGTTAAGTAACGTTTTGACCGAAATGTTTACCCTTTTACATCTTATTTCTCACACTTCTAGAAAAATTTTCAAATTTTATTTGACTTGCTATAGCCCCAACAGGAGGTGGGTTGAGTTAGTACTTTCACGTAGTTGGACAATGGCCGCTAAATTCTGTAAATACACTTAAAAGAATACTTCTAAGCTCAACCAATAAAAAAACCCTTACAACTTAAACAAAACCTAAGTGTGGAGTGATATCGTGTAAGAATCGGCTTTTGTTAAAAGAGTAAATACTTCCGAAGTTTAGCGATACAGTGCAAGAATCGGTTTCAGCTGTAGGAGCAAATACTTCCGAAGTTTAGCGATACAGTGCAAGAATCGGTTTCAGCTGTAGGAGTAAATACTTCCGAAGTTTAGCGATACAGTGCAAGAATCGGTTTCAGCTGTAGGAGTAAATACTTCCGAAGTTTAGCGATACAGTTCAAGAATCGGTTTCAGCTGTAGGAGTAAATACTTCCGAA